TTTTTAGTAGAGACGGGGTTTCACCATGTTAACCAGGATGGTCTCGATGTCTTGACCTTGTGATCCACCCGCCTCGGCCTCCCAAAGTGCTGGGATTACAGGCTTGAGCCACAGCGCCCAGCCTCAATGCACTTTAAATGGGGATAAAAAGTGCTTGCTTCATCCAGCTGTTGTGAGGATGAATGGGGTGGAAGTGTCAGTGTTCCCTTGTGTTTATCAGAAGGGAAGGAAGAACCCACGTGGGAAGGGGGCCCGGGCACCCGTCAGCCCCGCCCAGAACAGGACTCACGCGTTGCAGTAGGGCTTCTTCTCGTAGCCCTTGTAGTTCTTCATGTTCAGTGTCATCTTGCAGGTCTCGCAATGGAAGCATGCTTTATGCCAGAACTGGGGATGGAGACAGAATGAGGACACATCAGATACCAGGACTTCTGAAAGCGGGGCTCGGGCCCTAGGAAGGGGCACTCAGGAGCTCCTGGGACTGTCCGGGGCCCGTGGCTGTGGGAGAACATGGAATCACCACAGGTGAGCAGAGAGCATCTCAGGTCACAGGCTTTGGCACTCCCCTCCCCCGTCTCCTTCCTCATCCTCCACCAATGGCCCATTTGAGCCCAGGAGGAAGAGAAGGGCAGGCATGAAGGACGAGCCCAGCTATAGTGGCAGAAGCAGCCCCCAGGTCACTCCAGCCTCCCCAAGGAGCCCCTCCTGCCCACAGCTGGAGAGGCTTCATTGCTTATGCAAAGCTGCGCTGGGTTGCTAGGGAGCAGCGGCTGAACACGAAGGAGCAGCTCCTCTGGCCTCGCCAAGGCCCAGCCTCCACGCACCCAGGCCCAGAACCCAAGCTCCTGTCCCCGGGCCCAGCACACCCACCAGTCCCACGTGAGCCCCAGGTGCTGCTGCAGCTCCGATACCTCCCACTTCCTGTGGGACTCCCGGCCAGGAGCGGGCTGGGTGTCCCGGGCTCTGCCAACACACCACATCCTTTCCGCCCTTCCCTCATCCTCTCCCACCCCGGTGGTGGGGGCAGGAGAGCGCCCAGAGCGGGTCTGCCACCGAGGCGCTAAAGAGCTCTACTTCAAAGCCTTGAAGGTGGACATCATAGTAGATATCGAAGCTCTACCCCCACTAACATGTATGAACTTGGGTGGGGCCCTGCAATTCCGGGGAGCCCGCGTCCTGGCCTGTGGAATGGATGCAATAACAGCTGGCCCTCCTGGGTTGCCCAGGACTCAGGAGAAATCGCCTCAAAGCCCTCCGCACAGCACTTAGTACCTCTGAACACTCAGATGGTAGGTGCTGGGCACAGCAGGTGTGACCCTCAGTGAAGGGGTCGGCGCTCGCCAGGGAGGCTGTGTGTGATGGGAGCAGAGGGGCTTCACTGTGCCCAGCCACAGCCCCAATCCTTTCATGTGGGTGGGAATGTGGGACACAGGGCCCATCCAGGATGGCCATGGAAGGGAGAGGGTAGACATCGATGACAGAAAGAGAACTGATCTAGGCCGGGCCTGGTGGCCCACGCCTATATCCCAGCACTTTGAGAGGCTGAGGCGGGCGGGTCACCTGAGGTCAGGAGTTCGAGACCAGCCTGGCCAACATGGTGAAACCCTGTCTGTACTAAAAAAAAATATATATATATACAAAAATTAGCTGGCAGAGGTGGCGCATGCCTGTAGTCCCAGCTACTCAGGAGGCTGAGGCAGGAGAATCGCCTGAACCCAGGAGGCAGAGGTTGCAGAGATTTTGCCACCACACTCCAGCCTGGGTGACAGAGCAAGACCCTGTCTCAAAGACAACAAACAGAACCGATCTAACAGGCTCTACGTGGCAGCCTAGAGGGGTCTGGTGGAACCACTGAGAAGTACTGATGTTTAGGCAAAGCCATGCCAACACCATCTAATTCACCTCCATAGCCCAGGATGATGCCCTGAATCAGCACCAACCAGGGGTCCACTGCCAGGACCCCAGAACAATCCAGACCACCTGAGTGACCTGGCTGACCTGTCCCTGCCCCATTTCCTAGCAGTCAGGGGAGGCAGTCCCCACTCGGAAAGGAAGCAGTCCCCGGCTGGTTCTTGGCCATCTGTCAAGGAATTCCCCCAAGGCAATGCTTTTCAAAATGTGATCTCCAGACCCGGAGAGGTGCTTCTGAGAGGAGGGGACGGCAGAAAGGAGGCTGAGATTCTGGGATTCAATCTCCCCCACCATTGCCCACTTCAACCAGAGACCCCAGGTAACTTCAGGGAGAAATCGCCTCCTAAGGAAAAACCTAATGGTGGAATATTAAACAGTGCTAAGAGAACCACTCTAGGGGAAGAAGGCCAGCTGGAAGTCAGGAAGCAAAGAAGTGGCAGGTCTAAGCTTGGCCCCCTCCCCAACCTGGGCCTATCCCAGTGCCCCAGTTCCCCCAAACCCCCATGCTGCAACTTCCACACTCTTCCTGGTGTGAGTAACCCCAACATACACAACTCACTGGGGAACTAAGACAGGGTGGTCCCTGCCCCCACAGGCCCCTGAAGTGACAGCCCCACTCCCTCCCCCAGTGACTGGGAGGCATTGGCAGGGTGCCCCAGCCTTGTCACCACCCAGTCTGCTGGCCTCTGCCTGCTCAGCTGCACATGCCCCTGCCTGGGCCCCCGCCTCCCGCCACCCCACAGGGGCCTGCCAGGAAAGACATTCTCCAGAATCCAGACCATGACCCACTTTCTCACACACACACACACACACACACACACACGAGTGAAGGGCTACACACTGTCCTAGGACCGGGGACCTCCAAGGCTGCCTCCCGATTGATATTTGGGAGACAGGGAGAGAGACCCCTACTCCAGATGGCCAGGCCTCCACCTGGAGCCAAGACCCGGGGAGAAGAAGGGCGGGGTGCACCAAGCAGGCAGGGGGCACAGGCCAATGCTGGACACGGGGATTTCACAAGACCCCTCCAGGCTGCCATGCGGAGGAAGTGGAGCCCCTCCACGAGGGGATGGCGCCTATTTCCATCAGCAGCTCCTTCCCACCTCCCTCACACATCCCACGCTCTCAGCCAGACACAGGAACGTGAGGCAGAGAAGGGTGGTCACCTGTGCCCCTGCAGGGGGCTCCAAGCAGAAAAAAACATGGAAACCAGTTACTATGAAGCGCATGTGTCAACTGGAGCTGCAGCCACTGTCTCCAGGGGTCGGAGAGGAGGCCACTCCACCCCTATTGCCTGGCACCTCTAGCAGCTTCAGACGACTCCCCTCCCCTCTCTGGAGGAAGGCCCCAAGGTTCAAGAAAACCCAACAGCTCCTGCCACTGTGTCCTTTCTGGGGTAGGAAATTGTGGGGAGGGGAGGCAGAAAATGACCAGTCCTTCCACAACCGCTGTGAGCCAAGCCTGGGCTGGGCACCAGGACCCCAAGATGAAAGAAGCCCTGTCTTATGTCAGTGGGGTCTGGAGAAGGACACTGTCAGGGAAATACATCCAGAGGATCCCACAGTGACCCGTCTGCCTCTGCTCTGCCCCATAGGCTCTATCCGGGAGCAAGAGCTCCCCTCTTTTAAAGACCCCAGGCAAGATGATTTCAGAGAAGCACTCCTGGGACTCAGAACTCGGGAGGAAAGTGCACCTTGAGGCATGCACCTCGGCTCCTTCCTGCTGCCTGCCAAGTCCATGGTTCCCCTGTTCACAGAAACCAGACTGCCCCCAGCCCCTACCTCTGCTGCCCATCAGAGGCCTCTCAGCCTGGATCCAAGGCTTCAAAGCAGAGTCACCCTTGACCTTCCCTTGCCTACCTGCAACCCACTCTACAGAAAGGTAAACAGGCTGGTGGGGGCAGAAGCTTGCTCGGATCCCCCTCACTTGGAGGGGGACAGCCTGTCCCTCCACAGCTCTGGGTTGGGGGGAAGGGGCAAGCTTCGTGTTACTGTGCCTGCAGCCTGGCACCTTGGCCTCTGAACCCAAGCGACCTGGGGTGGCCATGACTCAGAGTTGGAGTATGAGACCGTCTCCTCCCTTTCTGTTGCCCAGAGTTACAGTTTCTCCCTCCTGCAGGGGCAATGCCAGCCGCACCATGGCTGGGTCACCAGCCTCGCTCAGTCAGCCACCTGGGCCGCTGGCTTAAAGACACAGATCTTTGCTGCACCTCTACAAATTCCAAGGGGGACAGGATTATTGCCAGTGGCCCCACACCCCCATACAAGATCCCAGGCCCAGAGCATCCCTCCAGATAGGGTCAGGAAGGAATGGAACCTACTTTTGGCACAAATTAGATATAAATAAAATAAATATGTGTAAATACAAGTACTTTTTGCAAACACACTGGCAGAAGAGCTGGGCAGAAAGAACTCTGGATGTGAATTTCAGCTCTAAGAGAGGGAGATGAGCCACATTGCCTACCTGAGCCTTCATTTGTGGGGTGCATCGCTTACAGGAGTGAACACACCTACTTTGTGAGGCTGCTGTGAAGACTGAGCCCAGCATATTGCAATAAGTAGTAGCTATTATGAATGGATGGTCACAGGATGATGGTGGGGTACTCTAAGCTTAGCAAAACGGGGCACCAAGCTGGAGGACTTCACTCCCTTCAAGTGGGGAGGGAGCACTCAGACAAGCAGAGGCACAGAGCCCGCCCTAATGTGAGATTCCAGGGGAAATGGCAGCAGACCAATCCTCTACCCCTCCACCTGCTTTCAGAAACCTGGGGAAGCAAGCCAGGAAACAGGGACGTGGCAAGATTCTTGACAACACAGCTCCCGAGATACAAAGCAGGTGCACCAAGTAGGTGTTCAATAAATATTTGTTGAATGAGCAAATGAGGTCACCCTGTTTCTCCCCCAGCTCTAATCCCAGAAGTCCTCTGGGGAAGCAAATCTCGACCTCCTTCCTCAAACACTGTCATCAGCAATACATATTTATCCAGTTTGCAAAGCACACTGGGTACTGCAGGTTGGGGGCAGGGTGGCCTTCAGAGGTGACAAGGTTTTTACCCACCTATGCCTTTGGGAGATAAGGCTCAGGGAGGAGAAAAGGCTGAAACCAAGGACGCAGCCTGTGTTTTGGGCCATGTAGTGGGCTAAGTGCCTTGGGGATAGTAGAGAAATGGGTGAGTCTAATTTGATTGTTTTGCTGTAAATGAGAGGCCTTTGGAAGTTGGTTAGCAACTATGGGACTGAAGATTCCCCCTCCTTCCTGTTCTCAGCTCAGCATCCTCCAGGCACTGTCTCCCCATTCCCGGTGCCTATTCCTTATTTTTTTTTTTTTTTTTTGAGACGGAGCTTTGCTCTTGTTGCCCAGGCTGTAGCGTGATGGCGTGATCTGGCTCACTGCAACCTCCGCCTCCCAGGTACAAGCAATTCTCCTGCCTCAGCCTCCCGAACAGCTTGGATTACAGGTGTGTGCCACCCTGCCTGGCTAATTTTGTATTTTCAGTAGAGAAAGGGTTTCTCCATGTTGGCCAGGCTGGTCTTGAACTCTCAAACTCAGGTGATCAGCCCACCTCAGCCTCCCAAAGTGCTGGGATTATAGGTGTGAGCCACTGCACCCAGCTTTCTTTTTTCTTTTTTTTTTTTGTTTTTGAGATGGAGTTTTACTCTTGTTGCTCAGGCTGGAGTTCAATGGCACGATCCATCTCAGCTCACTGCAACCTCTGCCTGCCAGATTCAAGCAATTCTCCTGCCTAAGCCACCCAAGTAGCTGGGATTACAGGGATGTGCCATCACACCCGGCTAATTTTGTATTTTTGGTAGAGACAGGGTTTCACCATCTTGGTCAGGCTGGTCTCCTGACCTCCGTGATCCGCCCACCTCAGCCTCCCAAAGTGCTGGAATTACAGGTGTGAGTCACCTCGCCTGGCCTCCTGTTGCCTATTCTTACTGCCTGGAGCAGTGGGGAGGAATAGGTCTGATACCTGGATATTTCTTTTTTTTTTTTTTTTTTGA